CCCATAACAAAAAACCCCCCCAAAAAAAAAAAAAAAAAAGTTAAAATAGCTAACTGCTGCCAGTTTTTTTTTTTATCCTAATACAATATGCTCAACTGAAAACTCATGTACAGTGAGTAGCCTCTGAGCACACTATTCTCTCTGAGAATTAACTTACTCCCTCAGCTTTCAGTAGTTCATTTTTCCCAGTTCTGGAGATAGGCAAAGATAACTATGATAGTCCTGCCAAGAAAATTATGAGAAAGGCACGTTAGGTATTTGTACACTGCAAATGTAAGCTCAGTAATACTAGTAGTTTTACTAATAAAATTCTGAGGTATATCAAGACAAAAGAAATAGAAGGCCAAACATAGTGCAAGCTGGTTATCCTTAACCAACATGTCCATGCCCTAGATAGTTTTTCTCTAGTTACAGCCTATGACGCGCTGGTCCGCAAGGTCAGAGTTCTGTTTGAGGGTGCATGGCTGTGTACTTGGGGGCCAGTTCTTTGATCAGATTCACGTAGTCAATTTTCTCTGCGCAGGCCCTGCACTCTTCCCCCCAGCTGTGCAGTATCTGTTTCAGTTCTGCAACTCTCATCTTCAGCAGGTCGACTGACGCCAAGTCCAATTTCTTTTCTAAATGCCAAAAAAAGAAAGTTACAATTAAAAAAAAAAGCAAAAAATTGTAGAAAACGTTTAGCAAGGCACATAGTAGGTGCTGACTACCCTTGGATTCAAAGTGGAGAACAGTTCCTATTTCCATGAGGACCAAGTGAAACCTAAGGAAATACAGCATATTCAAAGCTATTGGGATCATTTGTTTTCTATCTGCCTCTCTTCCTGGGAATATACTTGCTTCAAAACCAGGATCTGTTTAGCTCTGCTGCCACACCAAGAGGTCTCAAGACCAGCCCTTCTAGAACAAAGAGCACTTCTCAACTTACCAAGTTTGTTCATCTCATGGCACTGAATTTCTTTAAAAGTAGTAGAAACTTTTACTTTTTTTTTTTTTTTTTTGAGAGGTTTTTGCTATAGGGCACATGCGCTCGCCAGAAAGACAGAGAGAGAGAGAAAGCGAGAAATCACCCCCCAGAGGCGATGGCCATGCCACAATCCTTTCTCCTCCATTTTCTTCTCGGGATCTTGGGCACACATGCACATGAGCCCAGCATGAGAGGCCACTGGGTCTGGGACTCAAACCATGGTCAACTACATGGGAGACCAGCGACATTACACCAATTGCTGGTCCCAAAAGGAGAAACTTTTATAGCCCAAATTATTACTATTCTGCAGTACAAAGGCTCCTGTTCAATCTCATCTTTCCTGCCAACAATAAGCTGGGAAGAAGAATCTAGAACTATTGATCTATTCAAGAGAGGTAGTTGAAAGAAAGAAATACTTCCTTGTAAGTATCAGTTTATTTGAGTTTTTCTAGAGAACTTGGCACCTGGCACTGCATGTGCACTTGCCAGAGAGAGAGAGAGGGAGAAAGAGAAAGCAGCCCCTGATGGGGCATGGTCATGTTGTAATCCTTTCTCCCCATCTTTCCATCCTATCGGGATTTGGGGCACACACATGCACCCAGTGTGTTTTTCAATCCACTGGGTTTGGGACTCAGAATGAGCAATTGGCCATCTGAGATCCCACTCCCTTAACCACTAGGTTATAGAACCAGCCCAAGGCACTGTTTAAAAGGGACAAACCTCTGTGACACCCTACAACTGCGAAGAAAAAGTGGTTACAAAAATTAAAACTTGGACTCAGCCATGGTGGTGCAAGTGTCAGGGAGCTACTATGTGAGTCTGGGGCTACATGAGTGGTCCAGGTTTAAATCCAGGATCCACGTGACTAGGCCATGGGATAACTCATGCCTGTTAACTAGGAGACTGGGGCAGAGGATCTCAACATTGAGAATCTGTCAAAAATGCCTATCTTTCTCTCTCCCATACCCTTTCCCTCCCTTTCCCTCTCTCTTTCTCTGTTGTTAAAATGAAAAAAAAAAAAAAATTGAACTTATTCATAGCTCCCTAAGGTCCTCTAGTGGCCAGTGTTGCCAAAACATTAGCAAGTCTTCATTTCCTCTCAATACTATCTGATTAATTCTTCTATTTTTTAAGGAGGCCTCTAAGATCCCTTATATAGATGAAGTTATTCAAAATAAAATCATTGGATGAAAGAATTGGCAGAGGTCTGTTCCCTTTGTGAATCTTGTTTCTGTGGACTCAGTGATTCTTTCCTCTACTTCATTACTTTGAAGCCAATAAAAGAGAGATGCCTGTCCTTAATAAGTACTCTTGAAGTCAGGCCTTGTGCTTGGCAAATCAAGAAAGAGGTTTCCTTTAGTACCTTCCAAACTTAAACCTATTTAAAGCTAGCTATGTAGCTACTGGGCTTAGGCATACGGCTGTGTTGGAAAATAAGACTAAAATAATTCTGAGTTGGATGCTAATTACTTGGCAGTTTACAGTCCTATACCGGGTATGTGTGTAACTTACACAAAAGAAATGAGTCTCTCTACTGGTGGAATTTCAGATGTTAAGGATAGGCTAAAGGAAGAATTCCCAGCCTTTCATCATATTTACTCCATGTACCCAAAAGTTTGACCCAGATACAAATCATCAGTATAAGAATAGATCTATCTATATAAAATTCATAAGGCCAAGGATAATGCTTTAAATAGAACATATTTTCCTTGCTATTTATTTAGGTGCCCCATGACAAGCTATTATTTCATCAAGCAAAATCTGATTGGATATGAATAACCTACTTTCTAAAATTTAAAGTTCTCAAAATGCCCACTAGGCATGCCTAGGAAGAAAGCTATAGTCACATTTATAACTTCAGAGTCTTTGTATTAGGGCCGGCAGGTGACATGGTGCTTAAGACGCTGGACTCCCACATGGCTGACTGCAGTTCAAGTCTCAGACTTGGCAGATTTGCTTTCTTAAATTCTCTGTCTCTCTCTGGACAAATTAAAAAATAATAATAATAAATAAAATTAAATAAATAATTATTTATTTTTTAAAATCCTTGTATTGTCTTTGAAGAGATACAACCTTTGTCTTAATAGGTTACCAAGAGTTAAATCACCATGAATAGCTGCTCTATTTAAAAATTTTCCTTGACAAGTGTACATTGCTGACATTTCTTTAGTAAATTGAAGACCTCAAAAACTTTGCTATTTGGGCTGGCAGTTTAAACCTACTAGTGATATATCAGTCCTATTTATTCCTTTCCTGTCAAAGAAGCTGAGATGGCACGAGGTACCATTAATCAGCCCAGCTACCTATTGGTAAGGGGAGAATTCCTTCCCTTCTAACTCTCCTTTCTAGAAAGCATGCCCCTTTGTTTAGAGGTCTGACAATACATTGGATATAGAGGAAAAACCACTGGGCCTGGTGATACCATATTTCAGCTCACAGATCTGGCTGTCTATCTTCTTGAGCTTCTCACAAATCTTCATAGCAGGCATGTGTACACTCATGGGACGAGTGACTTCACTGAGGATCTTTGTGGCTGCATCTTTTGTGGCTCCTAGGTAATAACACTAAGGGAGAATGAACAGAATTTAGTGGCCCAGAAAAAAAAAAAAAAAAGTACTGTAGTAGTGAGAAATCAGAAGGAGGTTAACCTAATTTTCACGACCTAGCTATTATATTTTAACCCCTGCTGACTAAGTCACTGGAAAACAAGCAACTGCATTCTCATGATCATCCTAATTAGGAGTGCCCTACAATTCATGTGACGACATTAAAAGGCTCATAGAAGCACTAATGCTTATTAAGTGTTTTCTCTGTGCCGGGCATTGCTCTCAGTGCTTTAAAGGCACCAACTTATTTAATTCTCACAACAATCCTGTAAATACTAGTATCACCCCCATTTTACATCCAGCCAAATGGAGGCTGCTCATTGTAGAATGCAGGAGAAATAGAATTTAAAAATCCAGCAGTTTGGATTTAGAGTCCATGTCCTTTATCATCACACAGTCCTGCTTTTCGAGTTACCTGACTTAACTGTGAAATAGAATTGTATGACTTTTTACTAAAACATAATTGACCTTCTATGCTTTGTTTTTCCAGTGTTAAGGAGTTTTGTCTTCTCTTGAGTTGTGGACAGGTCCATATACCTACTATTTGAGCAGAATCCTAACCTGTTTCCTGGCTTTAAGTATTAAGCAAAGTTCCCTCTCTCTTTTTTTTTAAAGATTTATTTATTTATTTATTCATTCATTCCTTCATTTTAACAAATACTTTCTAGCCACTCCAGTGGCACAGCGGTAACACAATCTTCTGCCATCCTGAGGCCACGTGGGAAGGTCCTAGGTTCGCGTCCTGAGGTTTCCCTGTACATGCCAAGTGCATGTGATCCAGGCTGGCTGAGGCTGGGGGGCATACCATGGCAGGAAAATGCATTGGGAGTACCTCTCTCTCCCTCTCCTCCTCTCTTTCTCTCCTTCATGCTCCCTCTCTCTCTCTCTCCTTCCCGCTCCCTCTCTCTCATGGAAGAAATAAATCACTTTTTGTGTTCTGCATTTAAAATTCAATGAGGAGAATAGCATAAGATAAACTAAAAACTAGTTTCTCTTACCACCTTGATCACTCACACGATGGCTTCCTAAATTTTAGCAGGCTTCCTTAGCGACCCTACCCCAACCCTCCAAACACACACACACACACACACACACACAAGAAATGGAAAATTATTTGTTGATGATAACATGCATGATTTAGCCATTTTATAGTGTATTCTGGCTGGAAAATCACATTTTGTGTGCTGTGGTGATATTCAGTGATAATATGTAATAAATGAAAAAAAAGATGATAAATAAAATTAAATAAATAAATCTTTTAAAAAAGAATTGTACATTTAAAAATATAAAACTTAGTGGCACAAATAAATGGAAAGAGTTTTGTAGTATGTCAGTGGTGAGTCGTCGACTACAGATTTAACTGACAAATTCAACATGACAATTTTAGACAAAAAGGAATTGGCTCAAATTTCTCTTTAGAGATGTAAAACAGTAGGTTGAAATAAGTCATGTGTGTATACCCAGGAAACAATCTATAGATTCTGCTACAAGAAAATGTAAGTTCTTCTTTATTTATGTATAAGTAATAATATAAAATGTTTTTTGACAGATTGGACTAATTATCTTGTTAAGAAATGGAAACTGGGACCAACGGATGGCATGACAGTTAAGATGACTGGATCCATATCACAGCCTGTGTGGTTCAAGTCCTGGAGCCACTCTGGTGCATGCTTGTGCGTGCTAAGGGTCCCTCCTAAGAGAAGGCACTACGGTGTGGTAGTGATTCCTCCCTGGGGTTATTCCTCTCTCTCTCTCTCTCTCTCTCTCTCTCTCTCTCTCTCTCTCTCTCTCTCTCTCTCTCTCTCTCTCTCTCTCTCTCTCTCTCTCTCTCTCTTTCTCTCTCTGTCTGTCTCTCTCTGGTGAGCACACGTGCCCTATAGCAAATAAACAAACAAAGGGAAATGGAAAATATATCAACTCTTAAGACAATAAACCCTCATTTAGGAATTTGGCTTTATAATTTCATTTAAGAAAGCATAGAATTAATTTCCTGTAGTTTACTTAGAAGTAAAATGAAACTAGATGTATTCTGGATGAAAATTCATAGGACTTTATTTCACGGAAAGATGAATTTCTGCTTGCTATCTACCATGAACATATGTAGATAGCATGTCAGTAGGATGACATCAAGTCCAAGATGAGAAATATAACCATGATTTTTCTTCAGGCACAAAGGGAAAATGAAAAGTGAAAATTTACCATACCAGACGGTTTTCTTTTCCTTTGACATCCAAGCAAAAGCTGATCAATTCTTTTTCTATAGTGTCCAGGGAGAAGTCAACTCCTCTCGCTATCAAAGAGTTGTAGAATCGGTTCAAGAATTCTTTACATACTAGAAGAAACAAGGAAATAAGTCTGTATACACAACTTAGGTACTGCCACACCTCAGTATATGACCCACTTGCCAAATAAAAAGTAGATATGGTTCAATATTGTACACTGTGACAATGAACTCTAACTTTAAGTAAGAATGCTTTCAAGTCTGTTGCTGCTAACTTAGTATTGGGTCTTGAATGCAGTGAACACTTAATATGTGCTTATTGATTGAATCAATCAGTCTTTGGAACCAAGTTCCACCTAAAATGAAAACTTTTTCATAACTCTAAAATAAAAATAGCATTATATATGATATGATCTTGGATCAGCTTAGTTTAAACCCTGAGAAAAATCTGAATAAGTTTTTTAAATTAAACCCTCTGATAACCGGTATAGGACTTCGTGAAAGAAGAAACATTTAGGAAACTGCACATTTAAAATAAGATGCAATTTATATTAGTGACAAAAGTTCTAGGGTAACTAGAAATAAATTTCATGAAATATACTAACTTTGTTGAAGAAAATTATGGAATTTGATTTAAAGACCTAACATATGCTATGTTTATGGATAGAAAGACCCAATATCAGGGTTTTTTTGTTTGTTTTAGATTTTTGCCATAAAGTGAGTGCACGCACTGAAGACAGAGGGAAAGAAAATAAGGGAAAGTAGAAAAATAACCCTCCAGGGAAAATGGCCACACTGCAATCCCTTCTCCTCCATTTTTCTCTCAGGATTTCAGACATGCACACACATGCACCTGGTGTGGATTTTTGTTTTGTTTTGTTTTTATTTTTTAGTAGCAGTATACATTGAATTGCTATACATCATTTAGATTGTGAATAGACTTTATCCAGCATGCTATATACCTCAATCCAGCCCAGTTGAGGATACTATACCTGTAACCACCAACAGGTAATAAACCGTATCTGTGGGTTTTTGAGGTCACCGGGTCCAGGACTTGAACTGCACAGTTGGCCATGTTGGATGCAGTGCCTTAACCACCATACCACCTACTGGCTTGATAATTACTTTCAAGTGGACCTATAAATTCAATGTTATTCCACTCAAAATCCCAATAGGATTTTTATCATTTTGACAAACTACTCAAAATTACTTATTAAAAAATAAAAGAGCAAATAAGAGCCAAGAAACATTTGAAGAGTTTTAAAAGTAAACTTTTCAAATATAAATTTTTTTTTCTAGAACTACAGTATTTAAAATAGTATGAAATGGCACAGAGACAAACAAATTAGACCAGTGACGTGAAATAGTGAATTTAGAAACAAATCCACATATATAGAGGAGCTTGATATAGAACACATGTAGTGCTGAAAATCAGTGGGGAAAAAAATGGGCTAATCAATAAATGGAAGAGGCACAACTTACCCACATAGAAAAAGGTAAACTTGGGACCAGAAGATGGCATAATGGTTACGTCACTGGACTCTCACATAGTCGACCCCAGTTGGAGTCCCAGACCTGGTAGCTTAAAACTCATACCAGGCGCGTGTGCGTATGTCCCAAAAATCCTGAGGAGAATGGAGGAGAAGGGATTGCAGCATGGCCAGCCCCCCTAGGTGGTGAGAAAAAATTTTTTTCATTATTAGTATACACACAATTGCCCCCCTGGGTAGTGATTCTCTCTGTCTCTCTGGCAAGTGCACAAGCTCTATAGCAAAATTCTCTCTCAAAATAAATAAATAAATAAATAAATAAATAAATAAATAAATAAATAAATAAATAAATTTAGATGTCTTCTTAAAACTACGACAAGCATGAATCCCAGGTGAATTAAAGACTATATGAGAAGAGCAATACTACGAACTTTATTTAAATTTAGGATAATATCAATACAGTGAAGGATTTCTTAAAGCACATATGATTGATACATTTGATCACATTTAAATACTTGTGATGAAAAAATTATAAACAAAAGATTAAACAAGCCACATAATAGAATATTAATAAAATGTTTACAATTTATATAACTGATGAAGGATTGGTTTACAGGATATAAGAAAAATCACTATGATTACATCCTTAGGTCTGATCATTACTAACAATGACTATACCATCTCCATAATCACAATTGAAACATCTCATTATCTGACCATCAGCCCCTACCTTTTTATCTGATGCCCTCTAAATACCTCAACTCCAACATTTTTCAGCCATTTATTCTACTTTTTAACTATGACTCCTTTTTCACTCTTACTGTTTAGATTCTGTAGTCCAACACTGTAATCTCTTCTTTGCAATCATACATATTTGACTCCCTATACCTCTCTCCCTCATTTTGCTCATACAGCAAAACTGAAAATCAACTCTCTACCAACTCTGAGTATATACTTACTGAGCATGGCTGCAGAAAAATAGCCCAACACATGCTCACTGGTCTCACTTCAAATTCATGACCATCGAATTCAAATAAGCCAGTAGGGTTGCCCGACAATCCTACTACATTGCCCACACAATGTCTTTTTTTGGAGAGTTTTTTTTTTTTTTTTTTTTTTTTGCTACAGGGCATGTGTGCTCACCAGAAAGACAGAGACAGAGAGACAGAAAGTGAGAAATCACCCCTCCAGGGGGGAATGGCCATGCTGCAATCCCTTCTCCTCCATTCTCCTCTTGGGATCTTGGGCACGCAAGCACACGTGCCTGGCGTAAGTTTAAGCCACAGAGTCCGGATCTTGAATCATGGTTGAACACTTGGGAGTCCAGCGACATAGCCATTATGCCAACTGCTGGTCCCATAATGTCTCATTCTTCAAAATGACTGTCACAGCTGCTCTCTCTTCAAACCTTGACTAACATCTCCACTCATACCATCACTCCTACTTTATGATCTTGCTTCCTAGTTCTCTGAAGGGAGAGAAACAACACACACAGTATAAAACTCTTATCTGCTTCTGCTACCACATCTAACCACACATACCCACGTATGCTACCTTAATCCTAAGAATGAACTAATACAAACCTTAAACTTGATAATTCTGACCAACATCCACCTTTCTCTCCTGTTTCAGCCCCATTAACCTGCAATTTGCTGTTTTTCCTCACATCTTAAGATCAACAAAAACCACTCCCAAAACCATGTTCTCTCTAAAACCTTTTTATTTCTCTACTTCTCTTAAAGAAAAACATTTTAAAATATTTTTTATATTTGTATATCCAAAGATTCCTGTCTATTTTGTTCTCTTGCTTTCTCATGTTTGTTTTTAATTCTTTTAATTTTAAAATGCCACTTTTCTTTTTTATTGAAAATAAATATTTTACTCATTCTTTTACTGAGAGTTGTTGTTTTCTCATTTTTACAAAGCAAAACTTACAGAAGTTTTTTTAACAAAGAATTTTACATTCTTTTGTCTGTTAAATGATTTTTTTTTATTTGCCCTTCCCACCCACTCTCCTCCTTTACAGACTTTGATATCTACACTTACTCTCTCTACTATCATATCTTCAAATCTTTCAATTTCTGCCATAGAGTGAAGACACTGGTACATATTGTATGGAGATAATACAGCGTGTATCTTTCAAAATCTGGCTCACTTTTCTCAACATTAAGTCTTCTATATGCATCCACTGTGAGTTGAATGATAGAGTCTCATTGTTTCTTATGGCTGAGTAATATTCCATAGTATATATGTGCCACAGTTTTTCAACCCAGTCATCAGTTTTTGGACACTAAGGCTGAGTCCATATTGTAACAATTGTGAATAACGCTGCAGTAAATATGGATGTGGGAGTGTCTTTCCAACTGAGTGTTTTTCTATCCTTTGGGTAAATACCAAGGAATGGAATTACTAGGTCATATGGAATTTTATTTGTAAGTTTTTGAAGAACCACCATATTGTTTTCCACAGAGGTTGTACTAATTTACATTCCTGCCAATATTGTAAGAGGGTTCCCGTTTCTCCATAGCCTTATAGCCTTGCCAGCACTTGCCTTTTTTTTTTCTCAATCTTAGTCATTCTAGCTGGAGTTAAATGGTATTTTAGGGGATGGCAGGTGATGTGGTGGTTAAGATGCTGGACTCACACATGGCCAACCATGGTTCAAGGCCTGGACCTGGTGGCTTGTTTTCTCACTTTTCATTTCTGTCTCTCTGCTAAAATTAAAAGAATAATAATGTTAATTATAACAAATAATATAAATAATTTTTAAATATTATGTCATTGTAGTTTTAATTTGCATTTTCTTATGACAGGAGATTTTAAACTTTCATATGCCTTTTGACCACTTGTAAGTCGTCCTTAGAGAGAACATTTTTTCATATGCCTTTTGACTATTTGTAAGTCATCCTTGGAGAGTTGCCTATTCAATTTATTTGCCCATATTTTAAATTGGATTATTCTTTTTTTTATAGGAGACCTGCTTGAGTTCTTTATATATTCTAGTTATCAATCCCTTGACTGAGGAATAATATGTAAAATTTGTTCCCATTCTGAAGGTTGTCTTTTCACTCTAATTGTTGTCTCCTTTGCTGTAAAGATTTTTAGAAAATCCAGATATAAACCCCAACTCATATAGCCAACTCATCTTTGACAAAGTACACAAGACAATGTAGTGGAGAAAAGAAAGTATTTTCATCAAATGGTGCTGAAAGGACTGAATATTCACCTGAAGAAAAATGAAACCAGATCTGTATTTTTCACCAGAAACAAGAATCAACTCAAAATGGATCAAAGATTTAAATGTAAATCCTCAAACTATAAAACTACTAATAGGAAATGTCAGGGAAACACTTAAAGACATTGGAGTAGGCAAAGATTTTTTAAGTAAGACCCCTAAAGCACAGGCAGTAATCCTCAAAATAGACAAAAGGGATTACATTAGGCTAAAAAGCTCCTTGACAGTTGTTTTCTTTGAGCCCATTGAAGAAACTATTTTATTCATTTTAGCATTTTAGTCTTTCATTATTTTTATTGAGAAGTCAGTTGTCAGTGTAATAATCACTGATTTTTTTTCTGTAGCATATATAACATTTCTCTGTCTGGTATTGTGTAGTTTCTCAT